ATATTAGGCCAATTGATCACCAACAGACAGAGACTGCATTTTAATCGTTGAGCTCTGTGGAACATGTGAAGTGACAGATAGCAGGACCTTAGCATCTGCCAGTGCCAGTCCTGCTTATTATCTCATGTACTGCACGTCTTAAAATGAGCATTGTTGAGTTTTTACTGGGTCAGTTATACAACTAGGTTCAAACTTTTAAAAAGCTCTCACTGGCATCCATACATCTAGTTCATAGTGGCTACCCTGAGGCCAAATTACATATTAGCTCCTCTGTTCTTAGTGGTGTCCAAATTCAAGACAGACACTAAAGGAACTGGTCTGAGGGGTAGCTCTGCTGGTTTTTGTAGTAAAGCAGTCAACCCTCAAAACTTAAAAAGAAATAGAGATCTTGACTCAACATTATTCTGCTTATTCAACATTTCCTGTTCCTGAGAAAACGGTCCACCATAGAGAATCAGGAAACAGTTGCAGTGGCTGTGGAATTGGTTCTGCTTTGACTTTTAATGTATTAAACTGCATCCACCTCTCAAATGGCATTCAAAGAGGCACATTCATTTTGGCATCATATTTTAACTAGAAATTCATTCCAAAGCAGTAAGAAATTACAGTTAAGTCAAACGAATGCTTTTCCCCTGTGCAGACCATCTGCACATGCCTTGTACAACAGATCTGGATCACTTATTAAAACATTTCGTGCCTGAGAGAAAATCCTACAAATACAAGCACAAGAAATAACACAAATTCTCTTAAAAAAAAAAAACAATACTAACTACTAACTCATACCTAGTATGATACTTTGAGGGTCTGCGATTCTGGGATTCTGGCCCCATGTGTTGGTAATGACACACAGGTCATTGATCTCTAGTTCTGTCAACACCAACAGCCATCAACCTTGGATCTGGTATGGTTCAATAGAGCTATGCTCAACTTCTATACGATCAGCTCATTTTGGAATAGGGTTGATAAGCTCTTTGAATAAACCTGTCAAGTACCGAATTAGGAAAAGAACTGCATGGTCAGATTGTACAGCCCTTTTAGACAATGAAAAGGATATCATTGTTTGCATGATTTACTTGGCTTTAAGCATTGGTCTCTTTTAGGTAAATGCCCCATAATGATACTGATCAAATTTGCAATATTGCCAATTTGGCATTGGTAAAAAAAACTTTAATAGGGACCGAGCCAGCAACCGCTGGAGGTCCCTATTGTATTTGCTATGTTTCTTATTATTTTTAGCGCCTTCGACTGCGTTTTTGCCCCCCTGAACATATACGAAAAGGCAATTTTATTTGGCAAAGTTGTCAGTCCTGGCGAAAAATTTAATATTCTATGTGTCGCTTTCGGGTTGGCCACTAGGTGGCGCTACTATCATAAAAAATACGTTTAGGATAATAACTTATGCATAATTTGTCGCACATTCAAAAACCTTATATCCACGCGTTTGGTGAATGGAGCTGAATCTCCCCATATAAGCCCCGCCTATAATTTTCTTTTGCTAGAGCAAAAAAAAAAAATTGAAATGTTTATTATTATTATTATTATTATTTCTAGGCCTCTTTCACTGCATTTTTGACCCCCTGAACGTATAATCCGGACTCATTTTATTTGGCAAAGTTGTCAGGCCAGGTGTAATCTTGGATATTTTTCGCGTCGCTTTCAGGTTGGCCACTAGGAAGGCCACTAGGTGGAGCTACTTTTAGGCAAAGTTCAATAGGCTAATAACTCCCGCATCGTTTGTCTCACATTCAAAAACCTTATATCCACGCGTTCGGTGAATGGAGCTGCATCTCCCTATATAGGCCACGCCTAGATTTTTTTTCCTCTAGAGCGCGAAATGTCCATAAACTACTTTTTGGTGTTCCTCCTACACGCTTTGTCCAATTTGCACTACATTTTTCACGTACCACCTGGGGACCGTCCTAGCAGAAAAAGTAATTTAAAGAATTTTTATATTTCAAAAAATAATATAAAATTAGCACTTCCTGTAAATTTTTCGTCAAAAAAGGAAGTGGACCATTTCTCAACATTGGTATGTCCAATTGACACCAAGCTGGGGTCTATAGTTCCCCATGTCTTCCTTAGGCATTGTGCACAATTTCAGGCCATCGCCACAAGGTGGCGCTCTTTAAAATGAAGAAGTTTATATCTCTGCATCGGCGCGTGTGATTAAAATTAAACTTTCGTACGGTGCTTGCCCATGGCTCCCTGAGGCTCAATAATAAATATGTCAACAATCCGCCACTAGGTGGCGCTCTGGTGGCAGGGTACATCACTGTGCGGAGACCGTAATAGTTATGAATATAAAATTCACAGGGCACATGTAGACTGGTGCCTGTAGCTCACATACCAAAAATCGTGTTTGTCGTGTTTGTAGCACCCCCTACAGGATTTTAAAAAAGCAGCCCTGGCGCCACGTTTCACCGATATGTATGAAACTCGGTAGGCACGTGTAACATGCCAAAATGTAGATTTGATTAACTGCACTTTTTTGTTTTTAGCTCCAACACCGTACACAAAACAACACAGGATAACAGTGTGACAGTCTCTTACTCTTTGACTGATTCATTGGCTGACAGCACTGTCGGCAGCCAATCAGGAGAGACGCTGTGTGGTGCTCTAGAATTTAACATCAAACTTTGACCAAGAAACACACAATTTTTTTCAGTGTGGAAATATGTTTTAATTGCCTTAAGTAATTTTTTAATAAAGGAAAAAAAGTTCAAAATTCTCTGATTTTTGCTTCTCAAATATGAGTATTTTCTGGTTTCTTTAGTCCTCTATGACAGTAAACTGAATATCTTTCGGTTTTGGACAAAGCAAGACATTTGAGGACATCACCTTGGGCTTTAGGAAATTCTTTCACCACTTTCTGACATTGTATGGGCCAAAGAACTAATCAATGAATCAAGAAAATAATAGATTATATTCCGAAAATATTTGTTAGTTGCAGCCCAAGTGGGGCTGCTGCACTGGATTTGTCATAAATGCAATGTAATTAATTCTAAGTATTTCTAAAAAATGAAAAAAAATAAAATTCTGGCAACTCAGAGTCTCCTTGGGAAAATCTGTTTCAGGTACAGCCCTACAAAACTTAATCAATGCTGTAAACACACACACACACACACACACACACACACACAACCAATAGAAGACTTACGATCTGTTTCTCTGTGTACTTGTTGGAACTCAGCAGGTTGACTGCCTCCATGTGTCCAAAGTCAATGTCATGGCCGAGCAGGAAGATGAAGAGCAGCTTGCAGACATACTTTTTCTTGCTGTAGCCATCCAGAGCCTTGTCCCCTTTAAACTTGGAGCGAATGTTGGCCAGCTCCTTATTGATCCGTTTGATTTCGGCTTCCTTGCTCTTACCTGGCGGGAAAGGAAGTAGTACAGTGTCAGCGTTCACAATATGGACATGATGGACCTGGTTATAAAAAGACTTAAAGGGCACCCTCTGCTGCTGCTCAGGGTGAGACCCTCTTTGATAAATGTATTTGATGTTATTAACTGCTAATAAATAAGAAAAATTTTATAGGGTCAAGTAAAAATTGACCTTGGGCATGTAGAATTCTATTTCGTTGAACTGTGAATGAATGAATGAATGAATTCCACTTTTTTTTCCATCGGGTCTTTATTAAAAAAATATCCTGAAATTATCAATAATTATCTATAACGACTGAAATTAAACAATTTATTGTGATAAATTGGCCAGCCCTACTTCCACTATAAAGAATAATTGATTAAAGCATAATAATAATTGAAGCTGCAAGCAGCATTGGGCGGGACCTCGCACTCCACGCAACTCGGGCGCCACGCCACCCCCACCCAAGCCTTCATCGTTGGAAACTGAGGGAGACCGCTCTACGTTGTCACACGTTTCAGACACTGTGCAAAAGACTTACACTTTCATAGCGAGATTCTTCACTGAGAAACATGGAAATTCAGCGCCACGCCACGGACACGCTGTTTGACGCACAGTAAATATTTGATTAACTTTTGATCACCAATGTGTCTAGATTGCAGTGATGGAATTTGAAGTCAATCCAATAAAATCTGTAGGAGGAGTTAGTTAAAATTGAAGCCCTAAAATGCCGGAAATGGCATCACAGCTTGACATTCGATTCAAGCTGGCCAACTTTGACGGCATTCCACGGACACGCCCTTCAACACACAGTCACAAATAGCACGGCGTTCAATCAGCAACATTTTTTGGCTGTACTGTCCAATCATCGTACCAAGTTTCGTTTTAATCACACGTACTGATGTGGAGATATAAACTTCTTCATTTTAAAGAGCGCCACCTTGTGGCGATGGCCTAAAATTGTGCACGATGCATAATGAAGACACGAGGAACTATTGACCCAAGGTTGGTGCCAATCGGACATACCAATGTGGAGAAATGCCCCACTTCCTTTTTTGAGGAAAAATCAACAGGAAGTGCTAATTTTATAACGTGCTTATTTTTTGAAATATAAAAATTCTTTAAATTACTTTTTTTGCCAGGACGATCTCCAGATACTACGTGAAAAATGTAGTGCGAATTGGACAAAGCGCGTAGGAGGAACACGCAAACTTAGTTTTTGGACATTTCGCGCTCTAGCGGAAAAAAAATCTAGGCATGGCCTATATAGGGAGATGCAGCTCCATTCACCGAACGCGTGGATATAAGGTTTTTGAATGTGAGACAAACGATGCGGGAGTTATTAGCCTATTGAACTTTGCCTAAAAGTAGCTCCACCTAGTGGCCTTCCTAGTGGCCAACCTGAAAGCGACGTGAAAAATATCCAAGATTACACCAGGCCTGACAACTTTGCCAAATAAAATGAGTCCGGATTATACGTTCAGGGGGTGAAAAATGCACTGAAAGAGGCCTAGAAATAATAATTATAATAAACATTTCAAAAACAATAGGGACCTTCCAGTTGATACTGGCTCGGACCCTAATAATAATAATGCATTTTATTTATAGAGCGCTTTTCAAGAAACTCAAAGACACTTCACATAATTCAATTCAATTTTATTTGTATAGCGCCAACAGAACTTATCTCAGGACACTTTTGAAATAGAGCAGGTCTAGACCGAACTCCTTATAACATTTACAGAGACCCAACAGTACCACCATGAGCAAGCACTTGGCAACGGGGGCAAGGAAAAACTGCCTGTTAAGAGACAGAAACCTAGGACAGATCCTTCGGCTCTAGGTGGGTGGTCGTCTGCCTCGACCAACAGGAAACAGGAAAAGAAAAGGGTAATCGAAACAACACACTAAAAAAATATAGCTATATCTACAACACTCAACAATGAATTAATCATTAAAATCAGTTCTGAAGAGTTGATCAGTGATTTGAAGTTGGATGGATCAGTACAGTCTCAGATTTGTTTGGGGAGAGAGTTCCAGAGGGAGGGGGCAGCTATGGAGAAGGCTCTGTCGCCCCAGGTAAGATGCAGGGCCCTCAGTGGTGGAGACGGTAGGTTGGCGTAGAAGAGCAGAGGCTTCAGGAAGGAGTGTGGCAATGGAGCAGGTCTGCTAGGTACAAGGGGGCCTGATTGTGGAGGGTTTTGTGAGTGAGGAGGACTTTAAATTGGATCTGTTGTTGGACAGGTAGCCCGTGGAGGAGCATCTCAGCTGTTTCACAATACTAACTTCCACTAATAACCACTTGCAGACCAATAGTTACAGCAGTGACATTACACTCAACATGCCTGTAATTTGTATTTCCATTGCAATCATTAAACAATGTTAAGAAATGTTTGTGTATAAAGCCTAAATGTCATTAGGGATGCACCGAAATGAAAATTCTTGGCCGAAACCGAAAATGAGGAAACCAAGGCCGAAAACCGAAAGAAATTATTATGCCAATTATTAGTACCATTGCATTTATGGCTATGACTGTGTACTAACATCACTAACATCAAGGCATTGTAATTCAAAGAATAAATCAAATACAAAAGTATGAAAATATTTATTTAGCACTGACATTACAACAGTGCACAATATAAAATAAAATTCAAAATAAAATGTTTAACTTTAACTTAATGATGAATGAATGAATGAATGAATAAAAGAGAATAATAATCAGCCTACGAAATCCCATATCCTCTACGACAGAGAATGGCTGATCATCAAAGGCAATGAATTCCATAATTTTTTGTGTAATGCCCTTTGCCTTGGCACCATCACTGGAAAACTTTCTTGCCTTTTCAAAAACGTCCGCAACAGACGGTTTTTGTTTGCGTCATCACAACTTTCCGTTTCGGCCGTGTTGTTTTGGTGATAAAAGTATTTCGGCCAAAAACCGAAAATCCTAGAGGAAACACTGTGCACTGTGCTTCTATCCAGTGAGTCGGTAAGACCAACACAGGCAGGTGAACGCTTGTCACATTCTGCTCCACAGCAGATGGCAAGAGCTGGTTCTGACCTCCATCTGAAGAGACTAGCTCACCGGTACAACAGCAATGTACTGAGGAAGATGTGTAAATAGCTGGCATTCATGCTACACCTGTGCAGGAGTTTATGTTGCTTTATCAAAGTCTCTTCAATATCATCTTAATTAATGACGGGGCTATGCTTGGCTCTGTGTGGTGCAATAGGCAGATTTGGATTGTGACACAAAGATCCAATGTCACTCAAACTGCTTAAAAGCTACACAGCTGCACGTCTGAAAAACCTTAACAGCAGACTTAAAGAACATGGTTGAGCACTTTTTTTCAGTTACTGATACAACCAGCATGCCAAAAACTACAGGAGGACAGAAGCATAGAGCGCTATGTGAATATGATGTAGAGAAATGGACATTGATTTTACTTTTAAGTTTCAAACCTTGGAAATGTAGCTTTATTTGCCAGAAAGTGTGTTCGGTTCACACTCAGTGACAAGTCTGGTGATTTATCTGGAGTGAACAGCAAGCCTCCATGTTGACAATAAAGCACTTTCAGTGCATTTTATGAACACTATTGAGTTCGAATAAATCATTTTGCCTTAATGTTGTCATAGCACTGACATTTTCAGCTTGGACTACATAATTAATTGAAATATTAAGAAAAGTGCAATATCCACGTTGCAAAAGCAGCAATTTTTTGATTAAGGTAAAATGTGTGACAAAACAGCATTATAATGTAGTACTGTAGTTCTGCAGATAACTCATGTTCTCCAGATGTAAAAAAATATTTTTGCATGGTACAGACCTCAACAAATGTCACATCACCAGGATTTTAATAGATTCTTTTTCAGTGAAAAGGAAAACTGTGGTAGTGGTAATATTCAGGAGGGAGGGAGATGGACACTCCATTGAACGTTAATCATATACGTTTTAAGAAAGATAACTACTAGCTTATAAACTGATACTTGTCTCTCTGATTTTTCTCAGGCCTGACAGCTTTAAGGGATCACTGTAAAATATCAAATACTCACTTAATTTTCCAGTATATAATAGCCAGTCTCACTCCAAAACTGCTCACACCAAACAACATTCTCAAACACTGTAATAACCAACAACTAACCAGCCCTTGAAGGTCAAAGTACTAGTTTGTATTTCCATAACAACTAAATAACACAACAAACTTTGCTAAATTGATGCTGTGTTAAATAATTACTGGGTGCATTATTCTACAAACGCTGTTGTCATTGTTGGTGGTATTATTGTGGTAGCTACAGTAGAAACTGTGTATAGATAAATAAGCAGATGTTTGGTCCAAATAGCCAGTTCCATTTTGGATCCGATTCCAGGTTGGAACCTGGATTTGATAAGCTTAGTCTCCTATTAACTGCGAGAGATTTGGCCATACCATTACACTTTGGCATCTAACCCTTTCTCTGTGTATTATATCAGTGTGGGCAATACTGCAAATTCTGTTCACAGACATTCCTGGCTGCTTATTTTAACCATCAACATTTTCTCAATAGATTTTCCATAAATCTATTCAGTAACGATATCATTAAAATTATTCAATTATGGAACATTGCTCCTTTCTTATATAAAGAGAAAGGCCTTTGTGAGAAACTTCCAGTTTCTCAGTAAATACAAACTAAAAACAAGTCGGGGCGTGCTGCGGCCGCGTCACGTGCCGTCGTAACACGTGCGGACCACAACATGAAAATCTCGCGTAAATCAGCTCAAAATTGCCACGCAGCGCTTACTTCCTGTTGCCGGTAGGTGGTGCTGTCACTATGTCTGAATGTTGTCATGTAGACATGTTCAAGGCGAGACTGTTATCAAACACGAGAAGTTTCATCGAGATTGGACCACGTACGCTGAAGCTATGAGGACGTGTTCAGGGCGAGACTGTTACAGAATATATGAAGTTTATTGGAGATTGGACATTGCACACTGAAGTTATGAGTGCTGTTTTATGGCGAATCGGCTGAATTCGACAAGTCATCACTGGCACAGTCATTTCGTGTTACTCAGCTCAAAATCGCCACGCAGCGCTTACGTCCTATTGCCAGAAGGTGGCGCTATCACTATGTCTGAATATTGTCATGTAGACGTGTTCAGGGTGGGGCTCTTATCAAACATGTGAAGTTTCATTGAGATTGGATCATGTACGCTGAAGTTATGAGGACGTGTTCAGGGTGGGACTGTACACTGAAGATATGAGTACCATCTGTTTGATGGCCAATCGGTGGAATTCGACACGTCGTCACTGGCACACGGTTAAACATACAGTCACAAATAGCACAGCTTTTGATAACCATTGTGTGTAGATTGAAGTGATCGAATTTGAAGTCAATCTGATAAAATCTGTAGGAGGAGTTAGTTAAAACAGAAGCCCTTAAATGCCGGAAATAGCATCACAGTTTGACATTCGATATAACCTGGCCAACTTTGAGGGAACGGACACGGACACGGACACACCCTTTAACGTACAGTGACAAATAGCACAACTTTTAATCAGCAGTATTTTTTGACTGTACGGACCAATTTTGAAGCAGATCCAATAAATTCCCTAGGAAGAGTTCGTTCAAATACAACGCGAAAAATCACAGAAAATGACCAAAAAAATCTAAATGGCTGACTTTGACGGCACGCCACGGACACGCCCTTTAATGTACATGCACAAATAGCACAACTTTTAATCAGCACCATTTTTTGACTGTACTGACCAATTTTCACGTAGATCCGATAAATTCCCTTGGAGGAGTTCGTCCAAATACAAAGCGAAAAATTCACAGAAAATGCGCACGGAAGTCACTATGGCCAACTTTGAGGGCACGCCACGGACACGCCCTTCAACGTACATGCACAAATAGCACAACTTTTAATCAGCACCATTTTTTTACTGTACTGACCAATTTTGAAGCAGATCCGATAAATTCCCTAGGACGAGTTTGTTCAAATACAACGCGAAAAGTTCGCCGAAAGTGAAAATCAAAATGGCCGACTTCCTGTGGGGTTTGGGGTATGGGTCCAAGAGGCTTTTTTGTACATCCCGGCATGTTACACGTGCCTACCGAGTTTTGTACATATCGGTGAAACGTGGCGCCGGGGCTGCTGTTTTATTATCCTGTAGGGGGCGCTACAAACACAACAAACACGATTTTTGGTATGTGAGCTTCAGGCACCACTCTACACGTGCCCTGTGAATTTCATATTCATAACTATTACGGTCTCCGCACAGTGATTTACCATGCCACCAGAGCGCCACCTAGTGGCGGATTGTTGACACATTTTTTAGAGAGCCTCAGGGAGCCATGGGCAAGCATCGTACCAAGTTTCATTTCAATCACACGTGCCATTATGGAGATATAAACTTCTTAATTTTAAAGAGCGCCACCTAGAGGCGATGGCCTGAAATTGTGCACGATGCCTAAGGAAGACATGGTGAACTAAGGACCCACGTTTGATGTCAATCGGACATAGCAATGTGGAGAAATGGTCCACTTCCTTTTTTGACGAAAAATCTACAGGAAGTTAGAATTTTATAGCGTTCTTATTTTTTGAAATTTCAAAAATGTTCAAATTACTCTTTTTGCCAGGGCGGTCCCCAGGTGCTAGGTGAAACATTTCGTGCGAATCGGCTGTTCAAAACATGATGATTATTACATTAGGGGTCTGTACCCAACAAACACATTGTGTCACATCTGGAGAACAAGATTTGTAGGCTAGACATCGTTTTTAGAACTACAGCACTTAACTTTAATTCTGTTTTTTCACAGATTATACGTTTATTAAAAAATTGCAATTCTGCAATTTTGATATTGCACTTGGCCATATTGCAATTTCAATAATATTTCCATTAACTGTGTAGCGACTAGCCTTTGTTTGTGCTGGCCACGCCGCCTGCCATTATTTGAATATTGTTTTTCATATAAGCATTAACGGTGTGTATATATATATATATATATTTTATATATATATATAATGGTGTATATTAAATGACATATGCCTCAATAGATTTTATGTACATCATACAGAGGGGAGAATCTTCTCAGTTAAGAGATCAGTTGATTGAATCATGTCAATTTCAGTAGTTGCAATCCCTCAATTGAGCATTATGCATGTAATGTAAATCGTTTAGTTTACTAGCTTTAATTAAATCACACAGAAATATCAATATTAATAGGGAATAGTTATACAATATTGAAAATGTATGCAAAAGTATCTTATCATCAACTGTTATTTATTTCACAATACCTTATTTATTTAATCTTGGCCACTGGGCTGTGCTTGTCCAGTCTCTAAAGAGGCTCAGGTTCTCCTGTTAAGCAGATAAAATGATGTCCTCATCCTTACTGGGGCTGCACAATTAGTCGAAATATTATCAAAATTACAACATGGCCAGGTGCAATATGCAAAACGGAGTAGCTGAATGTTTTCTATTAAGGTAAAAATGTGTTACAAACAGCTATATAATGAAGTACTGTAGTGGTGCAGAGATGTCCTGGCCTACAAATTTTGTTCTTCAGATTTAAGAGAACATGTTTGTTAGGTACAGACACCAAAACATTTCTCATCATCATGATTTTAATAGTTTTTTTTAAGGAAAACTTAATTTATGATTCAACAACAAAATCACAAATCATGAATCATATCGCAATCACAATACCTGTCAAAATAATAACATATCGTACAGCCCTGCTCCTTACAATCAAACGTATGGAGCTGTGTACTGTCATCTTAAAATAACTACTGGTTCAAACATCTGAATTCCTAATATTGTACAGATGTTTATGGTCTGTTTGACCAAAGCCACAGCCAACACTCAAAAACAAAAGGCCTCTCTGCAGACCCTTGCTTCTGTTGCACTGAGTACTGGAAAAACGGTCGTGCTGCAGGCTACATCTGAGTATTAACTGTGCCATTACTGAGTAGTTAACTAGTAGTTATATAGTGACACCCTACCGCTGCTTTGGTGCCCCCACGTCATTCCACTACAGCACGTAAAGGGTACAAGCAGCAACAGTTCGAGTAATGTCAACTGATGCCAATGGCGTCAAATTAACGTTACACAAATTAACAAGTACAATGAAGAAAATTGAACTTACAGTTTCTAATGTCCGAGATGAAAACAGCTAATCCGCGCATTCCATCTCCTTTCGACACAGCCGGCATTTTTGCAGGTTTGTCCTCACTCCGGCCTTATCCGTAAAAACGAACTGACGTCGGTCAGCTTTTTACACTGGACTAAAGTGGAAGATGGCCAACTTGACGTTTGGTTGTAGCTAGCTACTTCGCAGTTCCAGTCGTTCACTAGAACTTTATAACTGACTGTTACCTAACAATCTCACTGTGTGCTTTTGGGTGGCTAGCTCCGATAGCATTTACTAGATTAGCTGAATGGCGGTGGATCAACCAGCAGCAGGATAAGTTAACGTTATCCCTGTTAACTGGCTCGTTTCCGCTGGCTATAACAAGCTAACGTTATTTCATTCAATCCTTATCTAGCTATGATTATGACCTACACGCATAACACCTACAGTAAAGGTACTTCTGTAAAAAACATCCACTATTAGGATGTTTCTATGATGAATGCGTCCAGGTGTGCTAATGAAAATAACGTCCGAGAATATAACGTTGAGTTACTTCGAGTCACGCACCGTAAAGCTAGCTTAACAGCTAGCTAGCTAGCTGGCTAGCAATATCATTCAAATACTGGAATACATCACCGGTTGACCGGAATAACTTAGTAGAGAGTTTTAATTGCCACGTAGCGATATGAAATTACAGCCCTGTTCTCTTTATCGCGCACTAAATTTGGTAAATAAGATGTCCTGTATTATTGATGTCCGTTCTAATTCTCCAGCCTCCACTCCGCGGCTTGGATAAGGCTCGTGACAGAAGAACCAACAGCGTGACCGCGCGACGTACCCGTGCACGCGTACGCTCTTTTCCTTCGTCCGAATGTATTTTCCGGCGTTGATTGGTTCAGCTTGCAGTGGCACTGTACTGCTACAATATCAGCCCAAATTCACTTGCTGTCTCAGTCCTAGAAACCTTTATTTTTTAAGGCAAACGATTAAGCACGGCGTAAGCAGCAGGGGCGAGTACAGAGGTAGCATTGGCCTTGCCACCCCAGTTTGGTGTCAAATATGGTCAAATTCCACAAAAACGAAATCAACACAAAAAGCCTAATTTAGTTGTCCCATTGGGATTCCAAAGCTCTTACCCAAGGGAGTCCTGGTTAAGACAGCAGCATCATTTGTTTATTTATTTATTGGTTTAATTTAGCAGGGACAGTGCACATTTATACGTTATATTTATATTTATAACAAAACATTGGTGTAAATGCAGCGGAGTTAGCCAAGAGGCTATTTTTCATTTTCATTGAAGAATATGAGGTTGTTCTTCTTCCTCCCTTCTTTGTGTAGTGCATAGTCCGTGAACAAGACTTCTTTGTTCTCCTGAAGTGTCTTTTCCTTAAACTTCTCCCTGGCTGCTGCACTCTTACAGAGAGCAGGGTATTTAACCTCCCTGCTCTCTGTTCTCTGCTTGGCTGTTTCCATGGTGACCACTTTGTTAATTCTTTACTGTTGCTAGCTTTTTTAGCCTTTAAAGACAGTTATTAATGTTATGATTTTTGGTTTGTTCTTTTCTTCTCCTCCTTATCTTCATAAAACACCTCTTCTGTTATCTTGTTTAGTCTGGTTCCTCCTTAGAAATGTTCTACACTGTGGCAGGTGGTAGCTTACAGCAGTTGATACACAGTTGCCAGCTAGCGTTTGACAGTCAGCTGGTTGTTTTCATTTAAAAAAAATATATACAAAGATGGTATTTTCTTTCTTCTGTTTTGCTGATAAAGTATTTACCTTTTTGAAGAAAATTCGATGTTTTTTTTGCAAAATGTCCCACTGTTTAGGTCCATGTTTAGATGAATTCAGGAGCACATTTTTCATGCAGCTTTCTCTCTTGGAACTCTCTCTCTCGCGCGCAAATAACATTTAATTGAATTGTTTGTGGACTTCAGCTCTGCTTTCAGCACCATCATCCCAGCTCTGCTACAGGACAAGCTTGCCCTGCTCAATGTACCTGACTCCCCCTGCAGGTGGTTCACAGACTTCCTGTCTGATAGGAAGCAGCATGTGAAGCTGGGGAAAAATTTCTCTGACTCCGGGACCATCAGCACCGGATCCCCCAAAGGCCTCATTCTTTCTCCTTTGCTCTTCTCCCTGTACACCAACAGCTGTACAACAGTCAGTCTACAGTTTGCGGATGACACCACCCTCATTGGGCTCACCTCTGATGGAGATGAGTCCGCCTACAGGTGGGAGATTGACCATCTGATGACCTGGTGCAGCCAGAACAACGTGGAGCTCAACGCTCTAAAGACAGTGGAGATGGTTGTGGACTTCAGGAAGAACCCAGCCCCACCTGGCCCATCATCCTGTGTGACTCCCCAGTTGACTCTGTGGAGTCCTTTGGCTTGCAGGGTGCCATTATAACCCAGGATCTCAAGGAGCTCTGATGTTCAGCTCCCCTTCACCAAGAAAGCACAATAGAGGATGTACTTCCTGCGGCAGCTTAGGATGTTCAGCCTGCCACACTATTCACACTGCCATCCATGAGTCCATCCTCACCTCCGTCATCACCATCTGGTAAGCCACTGCCAAGGAAGAGGGCAGACTGCAGCGTATCATTCGCACTGCTGAAAAGGTGACTAGCTGCAATTTGCCATCCCTCCAGGACCTGTATGCCTCTAGGACCCTGAGGCGTACAGGTAAGATTGTGGCTGACCGCTACCACCCCGGACACAGACTCTTTGAAAAAAAGACTCCCCTCTGTGGTCTATCAAGACCAAAACTTCCCGCCACAGGAACAGTTTCTTTCCATCTGCAGCTGGTCTCATCAACAAGGCCCGAGACTCCCACTGACAATGACCCACCCTGTAAATATGCATTATATTAACACACTTCTGTTGGGTTTTATTTTTATCTTGAACATTTCTGTACAGCTCTTTACTTATTTAGTAAGTATCTGGTAATTTTGTACATATTCTCTCACTCTTTATATTCGTATATAGTGGCTCCTCCTTTTTACTGTCTCTATTTTGTATCTTTATTTTTATTTTTCTAGCTTGATTGTGATTCTTATGCACCAATGTGTTCCTCATATGTGAAAACTTACTTGGCAATAAACCTGATTCTGATTTACATTACATGTATAACATACAACAACAAAAAGATCTCAGAAAACAAACAATAAGTATTTAATTTAAAGGTAATATTTGGATGTTAATTTAGAGTTTAATTGCCAGATAGTCCAACATTTTTGTCCAAAGATAGTACACAGTTTGATGTCTGATATTGTACATAATATTCCCCATTGTGGGGCAAATAAAGGAATATCTAATCTAATCTAATTTCCTGTTAGTAGAAAACTATCAAATACGGTGGGGCTACTTACTGGACTATGATGTTTAGTTTGTAGTTTGCTTGTATATGTAACCCACTGGATGTGCTGCAGCCTCCCTACACACCCAGAGACTCTGCGTGTTTATGGTTGTGATAGGGTGTTTGCCTGGGGAGAGAAGAGAAGCACCGGAGACAGGAGTTCTGGATTGTGGCTGAGACCTGGAGACACTTTATTGGCACACATTGACAGCTTTCACCTCTGGTCCTCTACACTGGCTGCTGGCTCCGTCACCCTTACAGGACAATGAATGAAAACATGCTTTATGGTTTTTCTTAAAAACTATATTCTATTGCAAATAAACAAATATATTGTGTCAAGATAATACTCTACAACTGAAAATGATAAATTACAGGAAGTGTAAATTAAATAAGGCACTCTATAAACATATGACTTCATAAAAATAAATGATTTAAAACAGCAAACTGAAAGAATTAAAGCTGCACCCGATGCGTGTCGGGGTGTGCTGCGGCCGCATCACGTGTTGTTGGGGTGTGCTGCGGCCGTGTCTCGTGCCAGCGTAACACATGCGGCCCACAACATGAAAATATCACGTACTTCAGATCAAAATCGCCATGCAGCGCTTCCTGTTGCCAGTAGGTGGCGCTCTCACTATATCTGAATATTATCATGTAGACGTGTTCAGGGCAGGACTCTTATCAAACGTGTGAAGTTTCATTGAGATCAGATAATGTACACTGAAGTTATGAGGCTGTGTTCAGGGTGGGACTGTTACAGAATATGTGAAGTTTAGTGGAGATTGGACATTGTACACTAGAGTTGAGTTCTATCTGTTTATGGTGAATGGTCGAAACGCCACGGGCACACTGTTCAACGGCATGTCGTAAACACCACAACTTTTAATCATGAATGTCTTTAGATTGCGCTGATTATATTTGAAGTTGATCCGATAAATTCCCTCGGAGGAGTTCGTTAAAATACAACGCAAAAAAACGGGTTATGGGTCCAAGAGGCTTTTTTACTTGTCCCATCATGATACACATGCCTACCAATTTTCAGACATGTCGGTCTTACGTGTCTTGGGGGCTGATTCTGGGGGGACGTGGCTAATCCATTATGCCACGCCCAGACAATACCTTAGCGTTTGCCACGACTGAATTTTGTGCAAAATTTCATGAATGTTTGGGCATGTTTAGACCCCCAAAAGGTGTTCAAATGTTAACAGAAAAGCTGATTTTCGCCACGTCGCCATGGCAACAAGGTTCGACAAAAAATGTTAAGATTCATGACATGTCTTTGTCATCGTCCAAAGGGACTGCTGAAAGAATTTCAGCTGGATCTGGGCATTCTGCTGGGAGATATATATAAAATAAAAAATATATATTTCCCTTCTCCACTAGGTGGCGCTCTCACTATTACTGAATATTATCACATAGGCATGTTCAGGGCGGGACTCTTATCAGACAAGTGAAGTTTGGAGCCGATTGGACAATGTACACTCAAGTTATAGCAAATTCGTGTTTTGTGGCGGTACATCAAATTTTCCCGCCACGCCAAAGACACGCCCCCTCACCACAGTCAACACATATCATCAACAATGTGTTTTGCATTTTCTAAGTAAATTTCAGCTGGATCTGATCATCCTGCTAGGAGTAGAACATGAAAGTAT